TCGGTCAGAATTAGATACTCCGTAGAGGGATCGTGTGTTAAATCCCGTGGCTGTAGCATGTAGAGCACTCTCCTCGCAAGAGAGAGACCTGGGTTCGATTCCCGGCAGAGCAAAACATCGGCCAAGTTTCCTTACTCCGCACACCTATTAATAATAATCCCCTTATAATAACTGTAACATACAAACTACTGACTGTCAGACAAACTAGCGACTGTTACACACCTTTCCCATAGCAGGACGTCTCAAAGCTCCTCATGAGGACCTGCACTAAGATGATGGTACTGAGTCTGGCTGGTACACGGAATCGGAGTGGGACCTCTCGACCATCAAGGTGACCGGCACATCGCTAGCTGTCCTGTAAAGAGGTTCTCGCACCACATTGTGGAATCCTGTAGCGTAGTGGTTAGACTGCTCGCCTCGCAATCGAGAGGACCTGGGTTCGATTCCCGGCCGGTCAGGGCGAAACCTTAGGCATGTTTCCTTACCCCACACGCTCACACGCCTCTGTTTACCAGCAGTAAGTAGGGACCCGGCTGTTAGTCGATTAGCGGATCACTTTTCCGGGGGTAAGAATCCCTCAATAAATGAATAATAATTTCATCACGTCAATCCAGGATTGCTTGTGGGGACGCTGCTGTACGCAAATGGCTGCCGTGTTTCGCCGACATAATACACTCTACACTTTACAGTATATTCTGTGAAGCGCTTTGAGACGTCTCGACGACGTGATAAGGTGCTGTGTCAATTGCCAGGATTATTATTATAGGTCGATTGGTTGCTTTCCGGGGGTAATAATAACTTAAATTTTTTTTTTGACTGTTTCAAAACCTCTCATAATTGTGAACACCTCTATTAAATCTCCCCTCAACCTTCTCTGCTCTCAGGAGAACAATCTCAGCCTCTCTCGTCTTTCCTCATTACTGAAGTTCCTCATCCCTGGTGTCAACACTGTGTTCACCTTGTAGGTACCTCATTCCTTGTGGAATCCTCTAACAGCCTCTCTCACAATGCGAAACCAGCGTGCCTCTCTTTTTTTAACAAAAGATTTTATTCATCCTTCCAAAATAATTCCTCGTTCAGGGAAACGTTGCCGACTGTCCGTGCCGGGGTGGGGCGGAGAGAGAGGAACGGTGAAACACACAAACAATCTCCTCTTCTCTCGCACGTAGGGGACACCGAGCCTCGCTCTTCAGGGTGTGAGTTCAGGAGCTCGCCGCTGTGGGCATAAAGTGAGAGAGAGAGAGAGACGGACGGGGGTCAAAGGCTCGGTCACTGTTTGTCTTGCGCTGGGTGACTGTTGGCGGACAGGTTGAGAGCACGCTGACAGACACCAGGCCCCGGTGATCTCAGTGCTGCGCAGTTTCACTCGTTCAGGAGCTTAGAGTACTTCCTCCGCACCGAATCCCGGTAAAACTGAAAGACTTTTTCCGACCCTTTCTGGCATGTTGCGATGCACTGCTGGAGCTGAGACAGAGAGAGAGAGAGAGAGAGAGAGTCAGCAGAGCAAGGCACACTGCACTGACTCTACACAGGGGAGGGAGTGGAAGACAAAATTCCTCGCGTAAAAAGAGGCAAGAAACAAGACTATCTGTACACCAACTCTCACACTGGGGGTTGAATGCTCCCTCTGACTAACAACAGCTTGAGGGGACAACAGGGTAGTGTCCCGGAGCGTTTGACAGTGGGGAAGGAGGGGGGAAGGCAGAGGACTGCGAGAGAAAATTCCAGAGTTTCAGGGAGTAGTGGCTGAAAGCGCGGCCACTAATGGAGGAATGGAGGGCACGAGGGGACAAGCAGGAGGTTGGAGTCAGTCGAGCGGAGGCCATGGGTTGTGGGTTGGGGAGTAAGTAAGCAGGCCGGAGAGGTAGGGAGGTGCCAGGGCGTGAAGGGACTTGAAGACGTGAGCGAGTATCTTGAAATCGAGCCGCTGAACACGCGATTGCAGCTCCCCCCCTTCATGGGCGGCAAAGAAATCATCGGTGGGGGAACAAATGATCAGCCAGACATTCCCATTCGGGAGAACCGTCTGGCGAGAAATTAAGATTACAAAACTCTTGGGGCCGTCAAAACATTTAATACAGCATGTCAAGCCGTTTAGGTTTAAGTAGCCAATTTATATTCCCGCTCAAAGGTTATTGTAAACGCAAGGAAAGGAAAATTCTTCCAAATAGAATTGTTTTGCATAAATGTGTAAATTACTGTCAAGCTACAACTTACAAGTTCAACCAGATAACAGGGCTGACAAACACAGAGACCGAGTGTAAAGCAGCCGAGAAGGGGTTTTGTTCACTAGCACTACACATTAAGCCGTTAAGTTCTTATTAAGTGCTCAACTGGGACGCTGCACTGCACATACATAATCATCTTATAACTCTATCGCCCACAAAATGCACAGTGGATTCACCTGATAGCGTAGCCCATGAAGCGCTTTGAGACTTCTCGAAGACGTGATAAGGCGCTGTTATCAAATGCGAGGATTATTATTATAATATCAAATCTTCTCCCCGTTTATATCGCTCCTTAACGACACGTCCACTCTCTCCGCTCAGCCTGATTCACGTCCCCCGTTCTGCCTGCCTCAGCGGTCGGACCTTCGGTCTCTCTGCCCCCACCCTCTGGAACTGCATCCCACAGTCGCCCCGCCTCACCCACTCCCTTGCCTCCTTCAAGACCCTCCTCTTTAACCGCACCTTCGGTCACCCTCCTACCTAACCCCACCCTCCCTGCCCTTCACCCCTCCTGATCCCAACCCCCAGCTCAGGGGCATAACCCTGACTGTCCAGCACCTTGGGACATCCCCCTGACATGAAAGGCGCTGTGTCAAATGATTATTGATGATTATTGAATATGTATAAATACATGAACTCACCTCCTCTACGGAGTAAGAGCCTTTGGTGGAAGATAACAGCACTTTCTTGTCAACGCTGTCCATGGAGAACGTGAGAACAGCTCTGTACTCCTGCAAGTAGAGACCCATTGACAAACAGCGTGAAATAGGAGAAAGTCTTACTGATGCTCAGGGGGTGACCGAAGGACGGTCGAAGAGAAGGGTCTTGAAGGAGCCGGGGTGGGAGGGGGGGGGGGGGGGGGCAAGGCAGAGGGACTGTGGGTGGACTTCCAGAACTAAAATTGCATCTCAGAATTTAAGATCACACAGAATTGTGCAAGTAACATTGTGTTTAGACGAATCGACTTCCAGATCCGCTCCTTCTTCTCAAATCCCTAACCCTTGCACCTCCCTACTTATCCTCCCTGCTTACCCCACCCACTACCCCACCAACCCGCTGCCTCCGCTCAGCTGGCTCCGGCCTCCTGTTTGTCCCTCGTCCCCTCCGCTCCACCTTTGGTGGCCGTGCCTTCAGCCACTGCGCCCCGAAACTCTGTCACTCTCGCCCTCAATACCTCTGCCTCATCCCCTCCCTTCCCACCTAAAGACCTTCTGTTTTGATGGCACTTATGGTCACCTCCCCTCCCCCTGGCTCGGGGTCAGACTCCGGCGCTGTCAAGCCTCCGGGATGCTACCCCTCTTGAAGGGCGCTATATAAATGCAAGTTGCTGTTGTAAACGGTGGCGGGGGGGGGGGGGGGCATTCGGAGGGCTTTTTAACGGTACGAAACAGCGGGTAAAAGCTCTGACCTTTTCCTGTTTGCTTGTTGGGTCCAGAAGGATGTTCCCGTCGGAGTCAATTAGGCAGGTTATGCCGCAGAACAAGCTCCTCATCGGCAGCCCCGCGTCAATCAGCGCTGTGCAGGCCGCATTCAGGCAGCAGGAGAGCAGCTGTGCCACCAGCAGCTAAGGATCTTCCGATTGTACATCCAACACACACACGCGCACACACGCGCACACACACACTCACACCCCATCTCCCCAGGCAACAGACTTACAATAATCCTCGCATTTGACCCGGCGCCTGATCGCGTCTTCGAGACGTCTCAATGCGCTTCACGGGATACACCGTAAAGTGCAGTGACTGTGCGTTTTGCGGGCGAAGCGCGGCAGCCAGTTCCTAACCCAGCGACGTCCCCCACAAACAGCCGTGGATTAGAGTGACCACATTATTTTTATTATTATTTTGAAGGGTTTATTACCCTCTTACTTACTGCTGGGTAACAGGTGTGTGTGTGTGTGTGTGTGTGGTGGAGTAAGGAAACTTGCCTAAGGTTTGGTCCCTGACCCGCCCGGGATTCGAACCCGGACCCTCTCTCTCGCGAGGCGGGTGAGCTAACGAGAGAGCATTGGAACGCTGCCCAGCATCACGTGGTCACCAAGCGAGACGCTCACCAGCCGCCGGTGTAAGGATACGGACCCCGCGTCGTGAATGACCTGCAGGACGACGGTGATGGAGGAGCGGGGGTGCAGAGCTGTCAGGATCGTGGCTTCGCACGTGTTTCGAATCAGCTGCTCCTTGCTCCTCTCCGCGACCCCTTCAAAATAACAACGCACTGCATTTGATATAGCGCCTTATCACGTCGTTGAGACTGTGTTATGTGACCGTGACCGCAGGATGGGGTTCCAGAGGGCGGGGGGGGCAGTGTGGCGGAAAGGGGGGGTGGTGGGGGGGGACGTGAAGCAGGCCGGAGCCCGCCGAGCGGAGGGAGCGAGCAGGTCGGTCGGTCGGTCGGGGGGCGGGGGGGGGGGGTTAGGAGGTCGGAGAGGTATAGGGTGGGTGGGGGTGCGACCTGACCTGGCAACCCCACTTTAGGTTTGAGCAGGACCTCCAGTGTGGCTTTGTCAAAGATCTCTTTGCTGACTTTCACCTCGGCAGGTCCGTACACGGCGGCCAACACCGTGGTGTCCCCTGGGAGAAGGCAACCCGGAGCGTCACATTGGTTCCATTGGCCGGCTGGTCGCCCCCGTCCCCCCCCACCCCACCACCCCTCTCCCCCACCACCCCCTCCTCCCACACCCCACCCCCCCTCCTCCCCCAACACCTCCCCACCCGCCTCCCCCACCCCACCACCCGCCTCCCACACCCCACCCCCCCTCCTCCCCCAACACCCCCCCACCCGCCTCCCCCACCCCACCACCCGCCTCCCACACCCCCCCACCCCTCTCCCCCACACCCCCTCCCCCACCCCCCCCCCCCCCCCCCCCCCCCCCCCCCAACACCCCCCACCCGCCTCCCCCACCCCACCACCCGCCTCCCACCCCCCCCACCCCTCTCCCCCACACCCCCTCCTCCCACACCCCACCCGCCCCTCCTCCTCCCCTACCACACCCTCCCACACCCGACCCCCCCACCCGCCTCCCACACCACACCCTCCTCCTCCCCCAACACCCCCCCCCTCTCCCCCACCCGCTCCCCCCCCACCACCCTCCGCGGCTCTTGTGTAACCGTTTTCCTTGTGACGATAAAAATAATTTTAAAAAAACCTGACATTTTATCAGCTATTGATCAGTTATGGATCAGGTATTAGTGACATATCAGCTACTAACCTGTTATTGATCAAACATCAACGACTTATCAGTTATTAATTAGCTATTGATCAGGTATCAACGACGTATCAGTTATTAATTAGCTATTGATCAGGTATCAACGACTTATCAGTTATTAACCAGTCATTGATCAGGTATTAACGACATATCAGCTATTAACCTATTATTGATCAAACATCAACGACTTATCAGTTATTAATTAGCTATTGATCAGGTATCAAAGACTTATTAGTTATTGATCAGGTATTAACGTCTTATCAGTTGTTAATCGGCTATTCATCAGCGGTATCAACGACGTATCAGGTATCAATCAGGATATCGATCAGGTATCGGTTATCGATCACTTATTATCAGTTACTGGGCCTCAGCCCCACAATCCCCCCCACCCCCCCCAGAGGCCGAGGGGCCCACCTTGTGTGAAGCAGGCCGAGCCGTCAGGCCTGGACAGCAGACTGTACTCACAGCCGAACGGCCTGAGGAGCGGCAGCTCCACACTCGGCGCCTCCATCGCCGCTCGCGACCAACCGTCCCGCTTCGCCCGCCCTCCCGCTCAAACCGACCAATCAGCTGCCGTCGCGGGCGGGCGGGCGGGCGGCTGGCGCCTGACCGACAGCGCCGGCGACCAATCCGAAGCGCGGTGGCTCGACGCGACCCTATCGGAGCGCGCGGTCGGCGCGTTGTCCGCGCTGATTGGCACGGATGTCGGCCAATCAGCGCCTCGAGGGCGGTTGCCACCAACCGTCACGCTCGCTCGCGCTCCCCCCCCCCCCCACCACCACTTCCAGGTTAGGGGGCGGGAACCGGCGTTTGACTGACAACGCGAGAGGCCCAATCAGAGCCGCGGATTTGCGGATGCGACCTATCAGCGCGCTCGGCGAGGGCGGGAACCTCAGCCCTTATCGACAGGAGCGTCGACCAATCAGCGGCTCGAGGGCCGGTTGCCAGCAGCTCGGGCCATTGTTGACGGTCCTCAACCGCCTCCGCCCACACGCACTCAGGGTTTAGGCGGCCGCCTCGCGCCTGCGCTAAATTCTCCCCCCAAACGACGCCAATCTAAACATTGGGGCGTGTTGATGAGGAACGGGCATGTTTTGCTCGGTCCCCAGATCTGCGTGCGTGCGGTCTGTGCGCGGTGCGTGTGCTTGTGGCGGTGACCGACCGACAGGCAGGCAGGCGGCGGTGAGGGACGGCCCGAGCGGCGCTGAGAAGGAACCAAGATGGCGGCGGTGGCGGCGGCGCTCGGGCGGTTGGGCCGGAGATGGAGCGGCCTCGGCAGGTGCGGCCCCCGCGGCCTCTCCCGGCCTCACCTCGCCACGGCCTCCGGGCCCAGGCGCTCACTGTCCGCCTCAGTAAGTCTGAGACCGCCCCCTCTCCCCCCCCCCCCGTGAGTGTGAGAGTGAGTGTGCAAGGATGAGTGTGTAAAGGTCAGGTGTGAGTGTGTCAGGGTCTGTGTGTAAGTTTAAAGGTCTGTGTATGAGTGTAACTGTGTAAAGGTCTGTGTATTGAGTGTGTAAGGGTGTGTGTATAAGTGTGTAAAGGCCTGTGTATGAGTGTGTGTGTAAGGTCTGCTTGTGTAAGGGCATGTCAGTGTATGAGTGTGTAAAGGTCTATGTGTGTAAAAAGTGTTTGTCAGTGTGTGTGAGTGTGTAAGGATTTATTGTGTGTATATGGAGATGAGTGGGTGTGTAGGTGTGTAAGGCTGCAAGTCTGTGTGTAAAATGTGTAAGAGGATTAGTGTGTGGAAGTGTGAAGGTCTGTGTGTGTGTGTGTGTGTGTAAGAGCATGTCAGTGTACGAGTGTGCAAGGATTCCTGTGTGAGTGTGTAACGGTCAGTGTGTAACGGTCAGTGGGGTACAAGGGGATGGGTGGGTGTATAGGATGTAAGTGTGCGCGTAAATGTGTACAAGAGGGTAAGAGTGCAACGATGTGTGGTGTGTAAGGTAATAAGTGTTTGTGTGTGTGTGTAAAGGTGTGCAAGACGTAAAAGGGTGTGTGTGAGTGTGTATCGGGGGAAGGGGGGGAATACCCCTTTCCTTTTCTGATAGAGTTACGGCGTCTGTTATATCCACCAGAACAGGTCATAGACTGGACCTAAATTGACCTGATCTGAAGGACGGCAATACAGGCCTCTTCCCCCCCCAACCCCCACAACACTCCCCCCACACAACCCCCACCACCCCCCCCCCCCCCCACCACACACGCACACACACACACACAGCGCTGAGCTAGAGTCAGTCGAGGTTTATTTTATGACCAAACGCAGCAGCCCTTGGCAAAGACGGGCGAGCGGGGAGGGGCGGTGGTGGGAATGACACCCGCGATATCGCTGAGACGCAGACAGGACAGGCGGAGAGCGGCATTGAAGCAGAAGACTTGGCAGAGGCGGGAGAAGTCCGAAACGAAAGCGGAAGTGGCCGGGACCGCTCGGCGGGTCCGGCGGCCGTCTACGGAGAGAGGAAAGCGGGTCCGAAAGGTTTCGGGCCCGCGACCCTTCGTCTCTTCAACCGTGCCTTCAGCTCCCCTCTCGACTCTCTACCCCCTCCTCGCTCCCTCCCTTCCTTCCCCTCCCCCTGACCATTTCCCCCCCTCCTCGCTCCCTCCCTCCCCTCACCCTGACCATTCTCCCCCACTGCTCGGATCCCGACCCAACTGTCCAGCGCCTTGGGACGTCCTCCCGACGTGAAAGGCGCTCTATCAATGAAATGTTGTTGTTGCGGAGTGTTTGTTGTTTTGCCGGAGGCGGTAGCAGTGCCAATGCTTTGCCCTTGAACAACAAGAACCTGACACTCAGTGAGGCCTCAGGTTACACACACGCACACACACACACACGCGCGCGCAGCAGTTTACTTTACGCACAGACTTAATTCCTCTTTCTCGCTCGTAAGGTTTGCAATTTGCATTTTTGTGGAGACCTGCAGCTCGGTGGTTAGGCCGCTCGCCTCGCAAGCGAGAGGATCTGGGTTCGATTCCTGGGTGGGGTGCGAAGTTAGGCGAGTTTCCTTACCGCCTTACTGTTTACCCAGCGGTCAGCAGGAACCCGGTTGTTAGTCGATTGGCGGACGGCTTTCCGGGGGTAATAATCCCTTTTATGTTAAAAAATTTTTTTAAAAAATCCTCTGATCCAAAGTGTATGTTGATGGGGTTGTTATTTCGGTCCGGAATCAACAGAATTCCGTGGATGGAGGCAGTGACGGCTAGAAGTTCCCGGTTGACTCTGTGACGTGTGTGTGTGTGTGTGTGTGTGTGTTGCTCCAAGGTCCCGTCTGCCTGTTCAGGTGGATGTTAAAGATCTCCCGTGGCACTGTTCGAAAAGATAAGGGAGTTTCTTACTCTCTCTCTCCCGGTGTCCTGGTTAACAGTCCCCCCCCCAATAAAATTGGTCGCTCACACCTGGGTGTTTGTGGGGCACTGCTTTGCGCAAATAGCTACCGCGTTTCAGTCTGCGCTTCCTCTCTTCCCCTCCGCATTTCCAGCAGGAGTTCACATCGCTGGACGAGAAGCCCAAGTTCCCGGGAGCCTCGGCTGAGTTTGTGGACAGCCTGAATTTTATTCAACCGAATGTCATCTCCGGCATCCCCATTTACAGAGTCATGGACCGGCAAGGGCAGATCATGAACACGAGTGAAGATCCCAAGGTAAGTGATAACGCTAAAGGGATTCGGTGTTGGAGGGAATCCGGAATAAGGGGCATCATTTTAAAATTAGAGCCCGGCCATTTAGGAGTGAACCCACGGGCGGTTTTTCACCCAAAGGCGAGTGGAAATCTAGAACTCTCTCTCTCCCTCACTCACAGTGTTTGTGCAGTACTATTCCCCCGATTATTCCTCCTCTTTCTCCCCCCCCACCACCACCACCACAAATAATAATTTGGTCACTCAATTCCACGGCTGTTTGTGGGGACGTCGCTGGGCGCGATCGGCTGCCGCGTTTCGTTCACAAAACTCACAGTCACTACACTTCGCAGTGTATCCTGTGAAGCGCTTTGAGATGTCTCGACGACGTGATCAGGCGCCGGGTCAAACCCCGGGGTTATTATTATAATTATTATTCCTATTGTTCCACCGCAAGGTGGCACAATCGACCTCTTATTTCGGTTGTCACAGCATCACAAGCTGTGCAGTCACTGTGACACATTGCTCTCATTGCTCCCCACCTCCCACCACGGCATTGAGCGCTCCTTAAATAATTTACCGGCCCTCCTGGCAATCTGTTGCGGCTGTTAATTACAACAGACGGCTAATTTACCTGCATCAACTGGGACCGTCCCAACAGCACATGGCATTTACACGGCACCTTTCAAGTCAGGAGGACGTCCCGAGGCGCTGGACAGTCAGGGATTTGGACCCGAGCTGGGGGTCGGGATCAGGAGGGGGTGGAGGGCGGGGAGGAATTATTATTATTATCATTTGATTCGGAGCCTTATCGTGTTGTTGAGACGTCTCGAAATGCTTCAAAGAATATGATGATGATAATCCTTGTATATGGTATAGCGCATTTCACGTCTAATATGTTGTAAAGTGTAGTGACTCTGTGTTTTGTATTAAGCAGTGTCCCACAAAGACTGGTGGATTGAATATGAATTTTATTATAATTTAATTGATGGGTGGTTTTACTGGGGGGGGGGATGGGTGGGTGGGGGGAAAGGAGTTCCATCACTGCAGGATGTTTATTCCTGTTTCCTGTTGCTTCCGCAGCTGCCGAAAGACATGGTGCTGAAGTTTTACCAGAAGATGACTCTGCTGAACACGATGGACCGTATACTGTACGAATCTCAGCGGCAGGTACGTGACCATCCGCACTCCTTTCCCTCCCTCTGGCCGTTGCACCGCCGCCCGCTGCCTCCGCTCGGCTGGCTTCAGCCTCCTGTTTGTCCCTCCCGCCCTCTCCTCCGCCATCAGCCACTACTACTCCCTGAAATTCTTGTCACACACTCTCTCTCTTTCTCTCTCTCTCTCTCTCTCTCAACCCCTCCCACCCTTTTCCCCCCTTCCTTCCTCATCTTCAGGTCGCGCCTGAAGACCTTCCTCTTCGAGCGTGCCTGCGGTCACCCAACTAATAATGAGTGCGAGTATTATTATTATTATTCGGGTGTTGTTGTTGTCGTGAGACGATGTTGAAAGGGCGGTTCCTGTATCCTTTCCAGGGCCGGATCTCCTTCTACATGACCAATTACGGGGAGGAGGGCACACACATCGGCAGCGCAGCGGCTCTGAATGCCACCGACCTCGTGTTTGGGCAGTACAGGGAAGCGGGTAAGAACTCTTTTTCCCCCCCCCCCCACTCTCTCCCCCTCTCTCTCGGGGTCAGACTCCAGACTCCGCCACTCTCGGGAACAAAGCCCCGCATGAAAGCCACTGCCTAAATGTAATCAGTTGTTGTTGTGTGATTCCCCCCCTCCCCCCCCCGCCCGCTCTCAGGCGTCCTCATGTACCGCGGCTACCCCCTGGAGCTCTTCATGGGCCAGTGTTACGCCAACGCCAAGGACGAGGGCAAAGGCCGGCAGATGCCGGTTCACTACGGCAGCAACATCCACCACTTTGTCACCATCTCCTCTCCTCTGGCCACGCAAATTCCCCAAGGTAAGGCCTGGTTGCGCTGTCACCCCCCCCCCCCCCACCCCACAAACCCCCCCCACCACACACATACAAACCCCCACACACATCCCTACCCCCCCTCAGCTCGGGTGTGGATCCCCGACTGTCCAGTGCTTTAAGCCGTCCTTTCAGCCCCACCCTCTGGTACGCCATCCCTCCCTCCCTCGCCTCCTTCAAGACTCTCCCCTTCGACCAACCGTGCCTTCTGTCACCTTCCTTACCCCCCCTACACACACACACACACCCTCTCTCCCCCACCCACCCTCAGCTCGGGTCCAAACCCCTGACCGTCCAGCAAACGTGGAGAACATGTCGTTCCTCGCCCCCACTCACCCCCTCCCTCCACCACCACCCGCCGTGGGAAAAGACGATCCAAGTACAGGGGCGACATTCTCCCTGGTCGTCCCTTCTGCCTCCAGCCGTGGGAGCCGCCTACTCCTTCAAGATGGCTCAGGGCGACCGGGCCGTGATCTGCTACTTCGGGGAAGGAGCCGCCAGTGAAGGGGACGCCCACGCTGGCTTCAACTTCTCCGCCACCCTCGAGTGTCCCATCATCTTCTTCTGCAGGAACAACGGCTACGCCATCTCCACCCCAACCCACGAGCAGTACAGGGGCGACGGCATCGGTAGGTCTCGCCCGCAGAACGCACACACTCTCTCACTCTCTCACTCTCTGTCTCACACACACTCTCTCACACACTCTCTCTCTCGCTCTCTCATACACACTCTCTCGCTCGCTCTCACTCTCGCTCTCAACACTCACTCCCTCTCTCAAAACTCTCACATTCTCTCTCTCTCTCTCTGTCTGTCAATCTCTCAACACTCTCTCTCAACACTCTGTCTTTCTATTAGTCTCTCAACACTCTCCATCTCAGTCACACACACACACACTCTCTCTCTCACAAAACGCACAGTCACAACACTTTACAGTGTATCCCGTGAAGTCTCGACGTGGAGGTGTGATCAGGCGCCGGGTCGCACACCGGGATTGCGATCATTGCAGGCGCTGCGTGTGTTACCAACGTTCCAACTCCCTCCCTCCCCAAAAGACACGGCTGGTTGCGATCTATTTTTTTTTTCTTTCCCCCGCTGTGTACAAAAGCCTGGCCGTCAGGGCGTTCAAATCGAGGACACATAGAAGAGAGGATAGCAAACGGGGGCAGGAAAGATTACGGGACTCGCTGTGAAAAGCTTTTGAAAGGGAGCGAGCAGATTAGCATCAGCCTTCGACGCCCAGCTGTTTAATCTGCCTTGTTTGACATTGAGCTTTGACATTTGCAACAGCTGCCAGAGGCCCTGGTTATGGTATCATGTCGATCCGAGTTGACGGTAACGACGTCTTCGCCGTTTACAACGCCACCAAAGAGGCGCGGCGGAGAGCGGTGGCGGAAAACCAGCCCTTCCTCATCGAGGCTATGACCTACAGGTGAGTTTGGGTTACCCTCCCCACTCCAGTCGGGTGTCTGACACACACGGAAACCCGTCACCGTGACCAGCCAGGTGTCTGACACGCACGGGAACCCGTCGCCGTGACCAGTCGGGCATCTGACACGTACGGAAACCCGTCACCGTGACCAGTCGGGCGTCTGACACGTACGGAAACCCGTCACCGTGGCTTAAGAGTCTCCAAACCCGACTGAGAATTCCCCACACCCGGGAACCCCGGAGAGAGATTGTCGGGATGGGATGCGCGCTCTCCCCCTGGAGGGACGCCCCCTGTTTACCTAATTCCGAAGAGTATTAGGCGAAGGTTGGGCGTGAGCCAAGGCTTGGGGTGGAGGTGGTGGGGTGGGGGGGGAAACCCCAGAGTGTGTGTTGGGGTAACTGCTGGAGTCTAACCGGCTAAACCCACACGCAGCTCGGCCATTGGTATCACTGTCTGGCCAAGCTTTCTCGCTGCTCGTCCAGCTGGGACCACCCTGCCCCGGTATGCCTTTGGCTCGCCGGGTGCTGTCAACAGTGGACCCGCTCGTTGGCTGGGACCCTGGCGTGAGGGAGTCCTCTTTCCTCGGGCAGGAGGTGTGAGGGTTTAAGCCGTTTTAGTGCAGTGAGCGCAGGATACATTTTCGGCTTAGTTCAGCCAAGGATTATTATGTTCATCAGTAAAGTGCAGAGCTTCAATAAGTCGCAAAGGTTTGAGGCACTTTCCACTTCATCGGCTCTGTGTAAAGCGTTTTTATTTCATTTCTGTGGCTCCGCTATCCTGTTGGCTTCTCTCCCCCCCCACCACCCTCCACTTTTCCCCTCCCCCCCCCCCGCCCCCGAGCTGTCGACTCTAATCCCAATTCCCTGTCACGCGCACACAGCGAATGCCCGATGTGCTCGACCCAGACTTGACTTGTCGCAACCACTTAAGTCATCATCGCCGTCCGTGTCCCGGCTGTGTTTGGTTACGCCGACGGTAATACTGACTGACTCCATTTGGTCAGTCACTCCGCGGCTGTTTGTGGGACATTGCCTGATCTCCTGCTGGGCTTCAACCACTAAACATGACGCCAGTTACCCCTCGAGCCTCTCGTCGAGATGCTTTGCCTTCACGGGTGCATAAACCCTGGAGGGGGGGGGGGGGGGGGGCATCTCGTTTTTGGGGGTCGCAGCTAATCGCGGGGTCGTGTGTCTCGAACCCTCGGCAGGATCGGCCATCACAGCACCAGCGACGACAGCTCAGCCTATCGGTCGGTGGATGAGGTCAACTACTGGGACAAGAAGGACCACCCCATCTCCAGGCTCCGGCACTACATGGTGAGCAAGGGCTGGTGGGACGAGGAGCAGGAGAAGGCCTGGAGGAAGCAGTCCAGGAAGCGGGTGAGTGTCCGGAACTTCCCCTCGGCTCGGGCCCGGAACTCCGCCCGCCCGCTCGTAAATGTGTGGTGGTGGTTGTTGTCGTCGTCGTCGTTGTTGATCTGCGCCCCTTCCTCTCTCTCTCCTCTCTCTCTCTCTGCCTCAGGTCATGGAGGCCTTCGAGGAGGCCGAGCGGTGCCTGAAGCCCAAGCTGGAGAACATGTTCACCGACGTGTACGAGGACATGCCTCCCCAGCTGAAGAAGCAGCAGGAGTCTCTGGGAAGGCACCTGAAGATGTACGGGGAGCATTACCCCATCGACCTCTTCGACAAATAATAAGATCGGGGTCCGTCGCTGCCCTCTCCCCGGGGCTTGGATTTCTGTTGCAATGAACCCCCCCCCCCCACCCCAGAAGAGGCCGTTCTTGTTAAAGGGAAACCCTTTCTTCTCTCTCCCCCACAGCCCCACCCACCCACCCCCCCCAGGTCCTTGTGTTTGGTGCATGTCTATCACACACCGTCAGTTTTCTCCCCCCCACCGCAGGCACGCACACGCAGGCACGCACACGCAGACACACGCACACGCCTGTGTTCCCCGGCAGTCAGTAGGAACCCTCTTGTCATTCGATTGGGGGAAATCACTTTCCGGGGGTAATAATCCCTTCAAAATAAATAAAAATAATAATTCGGTCGCTTCAACCCCACGGCTGTTTGTGGGGGACGTCGCCGGGCGCGATCGGCTGCCACTTTTCTCCCCCGCAAAACCCCCAGTCACTACACTTCACAGCGTATATCCTGGGAAGCTCTTTGAGGCGTCTCCACGACTGGATGAGGCGTCGGATCAAGTGCCAGGATTATTATTATTATTATGACGACGATTACTGTTATTCTAGTAGGTTTTTCTGGGAGGGGGAGGGGATGGTGGGTGGGTGTTGTTGGGGGGGGTCCGGTTACCGATGCTTCCGTCTCGAAGAGACAGACAACTGTTACACTGAAAGGAGTCAAAACTGGTGACGATAATAATAATAATTATTATATAATGTTAATTAATAATAATCTTTTGTGGGTTAGAATAAACGGTGGAGCTGTTACGCTCGGTGTGTGCAGAGCAACGTGTCCGGGAGTCCGCGCTGTCAGGGCGTTATTCCTCATGTTCAATAAAGGTTTCTGATCTGTCTCTCTCTCTCTCTCTCACTCTCTCTCTCACACTCACTCGCACTCTGTCTCACTCTCTCTCACACTCTGTCTCTCTCTCACACTCTGTCTCACTCTCACTGTCTCGCTCACTCTCTCTCACACTCACTCTTACACTCTGTCTCTCTCTCACACTGACTCACTCTCTTTCACTCTGTCTCTCACTCTCTCTCACACTGACTCACTCTCTTTCACTCTGTCTCACTCTCTCTCTCACACTGACTCACTCTCTTTCACTCTGTCTCTCACTCTGTCTCACTCTCTCTCTCACACTGACTCACTCTCTTTCACTCTGTCTCTCACTCTGTCTCTCTCACTCTCTCTCACACTGACTCACTCTCTTTCACTCTGTCTCACTCTCTCACTCTGTCTCTCTCTCACACTGACTCACTCTCTTTCACTCTGTCTCTCTCACTCTCTCTCACACTGACTCACTCTCTTTCACTCTGTCTCACTCTCTCACTCTGTCTCTCTCTCACACTGACTCACTCTCTTTCACTCTGTCTCTCTCACTCTCTCACACTGACTCACTCTCTTTCACTCTGTCTCACTCTCTCTCACTCTCTCTCACACTGACTCACTCTCTTTCACTCTGTCTCTCTCACTCTCTCTCACACTGACTCACTCTCTTTCACTCTGTCTCACTCTCTCACTCTGTCTCTCTCTCACACTGACTCACTCTCTTTCACTCTGTCTCTCTCACTCTCTCACACTGACTCACTCCTTCACTCTGTCTCACTCTCTCTCACTCTCTCTCACACTGACTCACTCTCTTCACTCTGTCTCTCTCACTCTCTCTGACTCACTCTCTCTCTCTGTCTCTCTCTCTCACTCTGTCTCTCTCTCACACTGACTCACTCTCTTTCACTCTGTCTCTCTCACTCTCTCTCACACTGACTCACTCTCTTTCACTCTGTCTCACTCTCTCTCACACTGACTCACTCTCTTTCACTCTGTCTCTCACTCTGTCTCTCTCAATCTCTCACTCTGTCTCACTCTCTCACTCTGACTCACTCTCTCACTCTGTCTCACTCTCACACTGACTCACTCTCTCACTCTGTCTCACTCTCACACTGACTCACTCTCTCTGTCTCTCTCTCACACTGACTCACTCTCTCACTCTGTCTCACTCTCACACTGACTCACTCTCTCTGTCTCTCTCTCACACTGACTCACTCTCACTGTCACTCACCACAGCTCCGCCCCCGCGTCATCTTTGGCCCCTCCCCCCGAGCCCCTGATTGACGGAGAGGGGGGAGGAGCATGGTGTCCACTTGGTACCACTGGTGTGGAGAGGGAGACCACCTGTGGTGTGGCCTTGGTGTGAGGCACTGTGTGGTGAGAGACAGGGGGGGAGACACTGGTGTGGTGTGTGGAGGCACTGGTGTGTGTGAGGCACTGGTGGTGGCTGTGGTGAGAGGCACCTGGTGTGTGGGGGCTGGTGTGTGGAGGCACCTGGTTGTGTGGTGGTGTGAGGAGGCACTGTGTGTGTGGAGGCCACTGTGTGGTGGATGGAGACATACCTGGTGGTTGGTGTGGAGGCACTGTGTGTGGAGAGACTGGAGCACTGTGTGTGTGGAAGGGCACTGGTGGTTGTGTGGTGAGGCACGTGGTGTGTTGTAGAGACACTGGTTGTGGTGTGTGACATGGACACTGGTGTGTGGTGTGGTGAGACACTGTGTGTGTGAGACATGTGTGATTAATTAACTTCATCGGGTTAGCCATTTTGGATCTTCCCGCTTGCTGAAGCGACGAGCCTCGCTGAGTTTGC